CGATTTTACTTAATGGCATAAAATTGTATTCGCATATAAATATTCCATTAATGTTGTGTCATTATCAAAACATTGTAATGATGTCTATGAAAAAATACTTATATATTATTACGATATTATATATAAAATTTGGAATATTAATATCTGGATTATTAATATATTAATATTAATTATATGTATTAGACATATATGTATATGATGTATATATTTATAAGAGAAAATTACAAATATATAATAATATTATAATTTGTAGGTAAATGATAGTTGATTATAATAAAATTAATAATTTTAATTATATAATTGCTTTTTAATAATTACTAAATGATTGATATTATTAAAAAATTATATAGCAAAAGTAAAGGAAATATTAATAAAATAACATTATGATAACTGTTTTGCCTTTATTACTTATCTCGACTGATTTATCATCAATAATTATAGTAATTATCTTTAGAAACCCTTTTTACAAAACTCTCGAGAGATCGGTAAATCAGTTCTACCATAATTTGACAGATAACTGACATTTCTCGCGAAGGCAAGTTTGACGAGGAATATTAGGATCATATGATTGCGAACAAAAATTGATCCAGTTATAGGAAAGGTCAATTTCGCCGCGCCGAGCCATCCTGTCGATGGCTAAATCCGATTGCCACAATTCTTCTCGACAGCGGCCGCTGTGCATTCACGATTAACGGCAAATGCATGCCAATCGCGTCTGCGTTCTGTTTGGCCCGACGCTAACGAACTATGAATTCCAAAAGCAAAGAAGCAAAAACAAGAAAAGGAAAAACAAAAATGGGTTTGGTCCTCTGAACGCGTAACGACCGAAAGTGCGGTCTCGGACTCGATGAATTATTCACGTCTGTTCTTCATCCGACCGTTTCCGTGGAGGAGAGTGTCCGTGTGACGAGAAAAGCCAGAAGCAGCGTAATGTGCAACTGCGAGTGGCGGCTGATTCGCGATAACGACGACGACGCCAGATGGAAATTCCGTTCGCCAGGCTGACCATCAGCCCCGGCCGACACCGTATGCAACTTAGGCGGTTTGCATACGCGTGCTTGCACGCGCGCGTGATGGAGCGTGAAGTAACGAGAACCGCGCTCGCTCACGCCCCCGATCATGTAAATTGACGAACGTAAATACACGCGGCCTCATACGTGCAGCTCTCTGCAGCGAGGATGCATACACCAAGGACCAAGCCGGTTTATCTGGGGCATAACCCGACGACCCGCATTAATCGTCATCGTCAATCAGAGGAATCCGTCACCACTAGCGAAACGCGATTAATATCGATCAGTTTGCGTCCCTATACGGCCGATATCGACCTTACGGAGAATCGAGTCACACGGTAATGGTTTCCGCGCGATACGATGTTTACGATGTTGCGAGCGGAAACTCTTAAATTTTATAGTATGAGCGTGTCAAATTCGAGGGAAATTCATGGAAAAGATTATATTACTTAGTTTTTTTATTGTAAAAGCCAAAAATTTTACGTCAAATTAATTAAATCTGTTTTTTGAAATATAATAATTTATATTCCCTCTAAAAGCTTCTCGAAACTTTCCGATGTGCCATTTTTATACAAGATGTCAGTTCGTTAATGGGATTAGTGTAATTATAATGAGCAGAAAGCTTCACGCGAAAATTTCTCGAGGTAAAGATCTTCATTTGGAAATCCGCCATCTCTATCTCTTGACACGCGAGAGTCAAAGATTTAGCGAATTTCTCATCGAGTTGTGGTAAATGAAAGCTGATTAGAAGCGACTCGGCGAAATTATCTCTTTAATCCGGTTCCAGTATGGATTAAAGGAATCGTGCGCCGAAATAGGATTTTGGATTTACTTCCGAATTTAAGGATAGGCCTTACCATCGGTCGTCTTTATTCGATCTTCATTGATATTCTCACTATGTCAGCCATCGGATCTACTTTTGTCATATCGCGCAAGCTGGTGAGAAAATGAGTGCTCGATAGATGCATGCAAAAAAGGAATTAAAGTGGAGGTAAACTCAGTCGGACTCTGAACCTCGCATTCTTCGGAAATGAATTTCATAAAAGACCGAATCGAGATTGTCTAAGAAGAAAGGCGTCGACGAATAATTATCTCCGTTTTATTGTTAAACCGGATTATATAAGCCGTGAAAGCTAGATTGTTGGACTTTATAAAAAATTATAATAATGTGATAATTGCTACAATAAATAAAATAAATCGCGTAATTTTATTGGCTCCATGAGATAGCTTTAAATATGAGAAAGAAAAGAATTATACTATATGAAATTTTATATATAATATATAAAATACATTTTTGGTAATATGATAAGAATAATTTGAAATAACTAAGAATTATGCGATTAATTTTATCACATAAATAGATTTTCGAAGAAGTTGGATGGTCACTGGGAGATATTCTAAATAATACGCGAATATAGATTTAGAATCTCACACATTTATTAGTAACATAGTTATTTTGTTTTATACTATTATGTTATTATATAATGTCATATTTTAAGATCGAATTTTTGTTTTTTAAAAAAAGTTGTGATTTACTTTGATTTAAGAACATAGCACTTGATAAGGGCCGAAATTCACGGCCGAAACGTTGTGAAAATACAATAAAATTTAATTATTTGCCAGAATTGGTCGATTGAATTACTACCATTTTTTAATTATTATTTGGTGACTTCATAGTTTATATCATTTATTAGTAAGAGTAAATTTAGTGTTAAAATTTAAAACATAAATTATATAAATAATTAAATAAGTATTAAATTAATTGAATAAGTTAAATTATAAAATAAATTAATAAAAAATAATTAGAAAACTGACATGACATACCAATATACTTCTCTTTTTCGTCTTATTATTGAGGATAATGCAAGATGTGTGAAAATATTACACACATAACTGTGTTATTAATGCTTAATTAAGCATTAGCTTAATTTATGATTAACTTAAATATGTTAATAAACAAATATCAATGTCAGAATATGCTTTATATGAATAATATACTGATTATGCTATATGATCTTTCTTGCCAATCTTATTTATCCCGTAAAATGTCTTAATCGAGTTATGAGATATTATTTCTCATCACTAAATCTTTTTATCTTAATTTTATAAAATGTTATTTTTGATCTTTATAGTCAATTAATTATAAAATATAAACAGAAAATTTAACTAATTATTATATTAAAACAAATGTTTTATTATTTTTAAATATTTCCATTTTTTCTTGCGTAAAATAAAATTTAGTATGCGGAATGTATATTCTGTGAAATAAGTTATTTTTTCCAAGTTTATTGAATTTTCTTTTTTTTTTAGCTGTTATTATTCAAAAAAGCTAAGAGAAATATGCAATTTTAGCTGTTTATTCTCTTATATTTATTTTTTATTCTTAAACATATGTATATTCTTCTTTATATTCAACTTTCTTGTAGCAATAGTTGTACATTTTCTCGTCGTTGTTCCGGTTTAGACTTCTTCGTCACGTGGTCGGTTGATCGTCGCAGTATCCGAGAGGTAGTCGACATCGTAAAGTTGTTTCGTGCCTACGAGTCGCACGCCTACCACCAAATGCAAAATCCATTTCCATCTAACCAGGAAACTTTTAACAAGCCGCATTCAAAGTATGTGTGCTCCATGTTAAAGTTATCCGGTACACCGACATATACATACATCTCACGAAGGTGGAACGCGCGAGGGTATCGCGAACGATAATTACTTCGTGCCGAGATTCGCGATTTAAGGAAATTGTGTTTACAGTCTTAGCGATTTTAAAGGAAATTCGATTTAATGAAACGACATTAATCATCATTTATCATGGACAAGTCGAGAATTAAATGTTTTTATATACATATATGTATGTAATATTATATAAAATATTATATATAATATAATATATAATTATAATAACAAGTAAAGTGATATATATATATATATATATATATATATATATATATATATATCTTTGGCAAGTTTTATTGTGAAAAATAGGGAATTTAAAAAGCATTTTTATTTTTTAATAGAGAAGAATAAACATTGTTGCTCAAAATGTATAAGAGAAAATTCACGTTACCGTATGTGCTACACACACTTGCCACAAGTTCATTTTAACCATGTCGCATATTGTTCTCGTCCCGCAGCGGGCGTATTTGAACATATCTCGTTGATGAAGTACAACGACCGATGCCAATGGTTAGCCTGTCTACGTGCAAGTGGGTCAGCATCCAACATCTTGAAGACATTTAAACTTAGTCTCGATTAACTCCCTCAGGATTCTCGTGCATAGTGTCTACTGCATGTTGAATACGGTTTCTGCGGATAGGTAGAAACTTTAGCTAGGACTGATATGCGAAGATACATGGAAGCGCATCGTCGCGATCTCTTGAACTGATTACAAACTAATATTCCGTTAAACTCGCTGCGAATTATAACAACGGCATTAATGACAGGTAATATTACTGTCTAATATTCAAACGCCTAAAATAAAACGTATTTTATTGATTTTTTCCTTTTTATAAGTAATTATTAATTCGACTTTTTAATATTTTACTAAATGCGAAATTTGCGACCTTAAAGAAATATATTGACATTGTTGACATTTGATGTGAATTCGCAATTTATTGCTAACACCTACTATTAATTATATCTCTATAAACATCTTTATAAATCTCATTATGATAAACTAATCAATCAGAAACGACATAATTAATCCAATTAGAATCTCTTGTGTGTCTTACAGATCAAGTGATGAACATAAAAGAGCTGGAATTCCATGCAATTTATAATACACATCGAATAAAATATCATGGAGGAAGAAGAAAGAAAAAGAGAGATACTGAATTTTTTGTATTTTATACATTAGGTAAATATGTACATATATACGTGATATGTATAGATCAAAAAATCAACAAATACTCAATGTCAAAATTCATACTCAACATATTTGGAATAAATACATATATAAGCAGTACTGAGTTTATATTTTCCGTAAGGCATCGAACGTTCGTCGAGATACGACGGCACTACAAATGCTTTCGTATAGCAGCGTACTATTATAAACGTGATATACCCTTTCAATAGCCTTAATCGAAGAAAAAGAGCGATAAAATTCGAAAACTTGCTTTTTGTGAAAGTGCAGGAAGTATAAGCTTCAAACATTTCCAAAAGTACTGAAGGAAGAAAAATCATTTAGAATCGATATCATATAGAATAGTGATTATTCTGGTATCGTGTAGTCCAAAAATCAGCGAGAAGAGCTTTGGTAAGAAATTAACTTTAATAGAACTATTAATTTTTACATTCAGATATTATCTTCAAAATAATGTTTCTTCGTAATTTTACTATTTTATAAAATATTATATATCATAATTGATGATATAAAGTGACAATTTCAAAGTCTATATATTGAGAAAGTGTTAGATTTTATTCATCAGTTAATTTAACATAAGTTTCTAGTATTTTAATGTATGTATACAAATTTGAACATCTCTCGAAGTCATGATTACAACGTGTCGATTAATATGTTTTTACTAAAGTTGCGTCAGAAGCCTTTAAAAACAATTGTTCCGTATTATGACGACAGACTACAGCAAGATTTCACTTTCTTGCGGTCGAAAGAAAAACAGTCATGCGCGATCAGATAGAGGAATAGTGTGACAGATGAAGATGACGAGAAATGAAAGAAACGAATCATAGTTTCGGTCCATTGGTCTTGCGAGTTTTTCATTTGCCACGGTCTACAAGATACGCATGCGCAACATATACCATTGTTTTCAAACCAATTTCACTTTTCGCTCAAACTCATCTACGATTTGAAGTCATGTAATGGCAGAAAGAATGTTTTTATTATATTAATTGTCATTATATAAAATATTCGTAACTTTAAAGATACTTAATGTGCTTAGAAAATTTTGCATCGAATTTCTGCTGTCGTAATTTGTTAAAAAGCTACAGACTATTAGATAACAATTATATCTAATGCAAATTATCTCATATAATCAATGTAAATATATAAACTTTTTGAATAGGTATTCTAAATGTAAATGCAGACCTAATTACGTTTATCTTAAGAGCATGTCTTATTAGTAATCTCCTGTCACGCATATTCATTTTAATGATAAATATCGAATACTTTGAAATATGTTCTATAAATTTTTATATATATTGGAGAATGTATATTCTAGCCCGCGCAGGTGCAAATTAAACTTGCTCATTATTACCGACACGTAGATAAAAAACTTCGCAATTACTTCTAATTATTTTGAAAACAAAAATTAATTTGTAGCGTGCTAAATCTATTGTAGGACTATATGTCGAATATGTATTTTTTAAGAAAATCTATACACATGCTTTGCGCGACATTACTAAAGCAATGATAATATTATATATTTCATATGTACATGTCATTACTTATTACAAAATGATTAAGTATGTATCCGTAGGGGGGTTAAAGGATTATTGAAATTAAATCTCAAATATATATATATATATATATATATATATATGAGATTATTTCATATTTTAAAATCTTGGCAGTGACCAAGTAAAATTTGGTGCCTTGTGCACAGATATTTAATTCTAACAAAAAATTTAGTTTCATTGGGATAACGCACTGTCTTCCGCGATCGGCTCTTATCGCCTGTCTTATACTTTAAATTTATATTTATATGACAGAGCCTTATTAAACTCTTAACTTATGTATACTTTATTCTAGATAAAAAACGCGGGACATTATACAGATAAGCGCAGACATTTTGCTGCAATAGCTAGTCAATAGTCTTTACATTGTCGTTCGGCAGTTGAAATTAAATTTTTATTATATTTTGTCATATCAACTATAAAATGGAACCGATTGCCAAAATGATATTTTGGATAATGTGTTTATTGTGCATCGTCACGTCATCCTTGGAAGCTGCAAGAATTCTAGCGATTGTTGCAATACCATCCTACAGTCACCAAGTTGCTTTTCAACCACTATGGACCGCTCTAAGCCGACGAGGACACAAAGTCGTTGTTCTAACAACAAATCCGCTTAATGATCCTAACTTAACAAATTTAACAGAAATCAATTGCCAAGAGCTCTATAAAATACTAGAAGGAGCTAACCATGTTAAAAGCATGCAGAAACATACATGGATATATTTAGAACGTGAGCAAATTTTTAGTGTAGGTCACAGAATAACAGAAAATATTTATAAACATTCAGAAGTACGTAAAATGTATGCACAAAATAGCAACCAAACGTTTGACGTAGTACTTGCAGAACTTGTAAAGTCACCTGGTCTCTATCCGTTGGCGTACAGATTTAATGCGCCTCTTATAGGTAAGAATAAAAATTATATAGTATATATATTTTATTAACAATTTCTTATACCTGATTTTTTAACAATAGATTCTTTGGAATTAATTTGAACTGAAGTTATTCTTAACAAAAATACAAAAAGGATCATAACTTAATAAAACTTTATAATTTTTATCTTTATAAAGTTAGTTGAAAAATATAAATCTATAATCAAAATTTAGTTTAATTAATATATATTTTTTTATTCTTATTATGCGTCATTATTATGAAATTCAATGACAGTCAAATACAAACAAATAATAAGTATAATTATTCTTTATGTATTATAAATGTAATATAAATGTGAATGTGCACAAAATTATTTTTTGTGCAAACTTTTTAACTCCAAACATCTTGTTTAAATAATTTAACTCATTGCATAATATTTGCATTTAATTATAGGTATATCATCAATAGGATTCTACAGTCATAATTATTACTCCTTTGGTGCACCCGTTTTGCCGTCACACCCTTCAAATTGGGAAATGGGACCAGCTACTGGTATTAATTTGTCATTATGGCAGAGATTAAACAATTTTATTCAACAATGGTATCACATATATTGCGTGTTTAATCATTTCTTTCCTGAGCAACAAGCAATTGCAGAGAAATATCTCGGAAAAAATATACCAGACATAAAAGACATGGAAAAAAATATGAGTATTACGATTCACACTCAACAAGAAGCTATTTCCTTTGCAAGACCGACAACACCGAATGTTATAATATTTGGAAATCTGCATATTTTAAAAAAACCTCCAGCTTTACCGAAAGTAATTATTGCATTCAAACGATATTATTAAATTTTTTTATTATTGGGAGTACTCTCATTTATTATTTAATAAATTTGCTACGAATTATTATTTATATATATATTAATTTATATTTATTTAAAATCAATTCATATATGTAGTACAAATATTACTTTTTAAAGAATAAATACAAATAAATATCATTAATTTTATCTTGTTGCAGGATTTGAATGAATTTTTGACAGATGCACCAAATGGATTTATTTATATGAGTTTAGGTACAAATATTGATATATCAGATTTTCCCAACCATGTATTAAATGTATTTCTCGACATCTTTGCAAGTTTGCCATACAAAGTTCTATGGAAATTGAATAAAGAATTGACAAATAAACCTGATAATATTTATATCGCTAAATGGTTTCCTCAACAGAGCGTTCTTGGTAAATCTATACAAATGGCGTAATTAAAAATCAAAGATTTAATCAAATGTATTCTCTCTTTCATAGCCATCAGTTATACATTTTGCTGTCTTTTTTGCAGCTCATCCAAAAATCAAACTGTACATATATCAAGGTGGATTGCAAAGCACAGAAGAAGCTGTTTATTACGCGGTACCACTTGTAGGAATACCAGTAATAGCCGATCAGTTTACTCATATTAATAAAATGGTATCTGTCGGAGTTGCGAAGTCTCTAAATTTTAGAGATATGTCAAAAACATTATAAATGCAACTATACTAGATGTTTTAAACGATAAAAGGTAATTATTTTTGTGCAAATAGTGCTTTATGTGACAAATCTTGTTTTTTAAATAGTTAATAATTATTTTTATTGAAAATCTTATTGTTTATAAAATTCTATATCTCAAGACCCTTATATAATTAAATTCAAAATATGATTGTAGAATAATATACATTATATATACATATATTTCTTTTAAACATACTATTACTTTTATAGGTATAAAGAAAGAATGCTGAAACTTAAAGCAAAGAATGAAGATAAACCTTTTAATCTATTAAAAATACGATTTGGTGGATCGAATTTGTAATTCGTCATAAAGGTGCTCCTCATCTTTATACTAGTATTGCTCATGATCCTTGGTATCAGAGATATGATATGGATATTATAGCAATTTTATCAATTACTATATTTGTAATGTTAGTTTGTTCATTAGTATTGTTCTATAAATTATTACAAATAATATTTAATCGAAATATGAAAAAGCAAATAGATGTTGGAAAAAAAATTAATTAATTTTTTAGAAGATACATAATATAATCATATTTTGTATATAATTACATTTTTATCAAGATGAGTTAAAAAATACAAAATATTTTTCTTTTTAAAATTTAATTTCTATGTTATCAAATTTTATAAAGCAATTTTTGCATTAAAATAAGCAATATTAATTTTTAAAAAAGTAAATGTAAAAATATATGATAGAAAATAATAATATAATATAATAATATATAGGTACATATAATATAAAAATAATAAAAATATAATTGTGAAAGAATTATGTTTGTTCTTCTTATTTCAATAAATTATTATTTAACTAATTGAGATACATAAGACTATATCTACAGTTTGTAAATGTGTTTTTAGAGGTTTTTTAGCACAGGACATTTTACTATGTTCTATTTCTATATACATATGTATACTTTGTCGCAAGATCCTTATACACTATATGCGAAAAGTAGAAGCAAAACAAGTCATCTATATTGTCAGACAAAAATTATTATTAACTTTAATTTGTTATTTATAGTTGCTCTTTAACATTAACTTTACATTTACTCATTTCGATGAGCTACTCATGTCTTCTATCTCACTACAATTTCTATCACACATCGGAATTATGCATGAAGGGGAAAAGGTAGATACCATGAGATGAGAAAAGACCACTAGCTCCTGTATCTTACGAAGTATGTTGCCTGAAGGATGGGAAGATTCGAAGAGGCGGGTGCAGCTATCGCAAAAAAGTACCCTATTACGAAGGCACCGTTGGAGATGCTCGAGACCTCGTCTTTTTCCTACAAAGAATGTAGAGTGCGATAAAACGGTGTTCGGAAAAGAGCGACGGATAACAGAAGCGAACGGAGTCATATACGTCTATGACAGCTACATCAGGATAGAATAAAGTAACTCTCACGATATATGCATTCGATCTCAAATCAGTTTTCATTTAAGTCTTTATTCTAGCTCGTTCATAGTAACGTAGCGCTTATATTATAATATCTATTTAAGTTAAGCATCCTATAATAAGGGATATTAAAATTTTAATATGTCGAAATCCGTAACTGTGCAAATAAAATATTAATAATTATTACGTCGTTATTCTTGTGCTGACAAGTTGATAGTCGTATACGTACCATAATAAATATAGGACATAATTTTTACTTTAAAGAGATATTAAGCTATATTTACAGTAAATTTAAAAATAATTATGCATAAATCAGAAAATACGTATTTGAAATTTACATTATACACACACACACACACACACACACACACACATATATATATATATATATATATATATATATTTATACTGTATTAGTATTATACTCATAAATATATAGAATTAATAATAAATACTTTCTTTATTTAAAAAAGGAAATATAAATTTAAAGTGTAAGACAGGCAATAAGAGCCAAATCGCGGATGACAGTGCGTTATCCCAACAAAACTAAAATTTTTTCCGTTAGAATTAATTACCTGTGCACAAGGCACCAAATTTTACTTGGTCACGGCCAAGATTTAAAATTGGAATAATCTCTACTAGAGATTTAATTCTATACATCTCCTCTTCCCCCCTAAGGAAATAAATGCGAGAGAAAAATATAGATCCGAAAGTCGCTGAATCGGGAATCGAACCCGAGACTTTATTGCCTGTCTTACACTTTAAATTTATATTTATATTACAGAGCCTTGTTAAACTCTTAAAAAAAGTAAATTATATAAATTAATTAAAATTACGCGTATAAAAATATAATGCGATAAATTTTATAATTATGTATATTTACGTATGTTTAGATAAACAACGATATACTCTCGGGGAATTGTTAAATATGAGATTACTACCTATGTAATCGTATAATTCGAGATTCCATGGTATATGCCTGTAGAGAAAGTCGTAGATATAGTGAGATAGTTTTCTACACAGCGGCACAAATTGCAACGTTTTACGCCTGATGAGATCGCATAAAGTCAGCGCAGGTCGATATCGTCTTAAGAAATATAGCGCCCCGAACCGCTTTCCTTCGAATCCAATTAAGCTTTAAGGGCTTTCAACGTGTCCATTCCGGAAATTATGCTACGGTAATTTCTTCCAGTACTTAAGTCGCGCGTTTATCGTTTAATTTGTATAGCTAAATAGCTGCGGGCTATATACATATATATGTATATACAGGTACACTCTTCCTGTCCTTTTAAATATGCGCTTATTCCTTTAAAAACTGTTTTTTTTTTATACTCAACACGTCAGCAATTCTGCATAAGTAGCTTAAATTGTCTTATTTAATAAATTTTATATTCAATTGCGCTAGATGGGATTAAAATTAGCGATATTATATATCATTCTTCTAATATTAATATTTCCATGTACCAAATCGACAGCAAGTTCGTTAATTTTACGGATACATTAATGTTCAACTCCGTTTAATTCACTGACTTGGAAAGGAATTTGGATAGTGCTTTGGTCGGCTAATAGCCCGTTTGCCGAGTTCAACGATGTTCAACCGCAATCTACGTAGCAGAAGAATAGGCGTAGTTAGATGTCGGTCGAACAACCCCGCACAATTGTGTGTCCACGCGCGTTCTCCCGTGTGCCATACGCAGCGACACAATTAAAATTGCTTTTGCACCCCGATAATGACCTCGCAAATTAGCTGTAGAGGAGAAGAGGAAGTGGTCAAAAGGGCGCCTCTCAGACCCGATGAAAGTAACGACGCGGCGCGCCGATTCGCGACGTGCTGACCTCCGGCCAAAACTTCAACCCTCCCTCTGTGGTTTCCGAAAGTGCCGAGTTCAACTAGCGCGTGCCGCTTATATCGCAGCGGTACTACTGAGACGCCTCTCCGCAACTACTATTATCTCTTCTAAACGATTTGTTCGATGCGGACTAACGCGCTGATAGTCGTACAAGCAGGATTAGTCGCGGTCCAGCAACTTTGGATCGCGTAGCCTGGTGAGATTTTATGCATCAGCGATGTATGTACGTGCACAGCGAAATAGACGGAAATGCAGCGTCTCTGAACTAGTCATTCTCGTTATGACGGGTGCAAATCGGTTACGTTGTATCAATGAGGCGACTGCATTTCGTTATGTGCACGCGTTAAAATATGCACGATTTCTATTTACCATCTATAGAATTGTCTTCGAACTTTGACGCGAAGAGATAGAAGAAGACGAATTACAAAGAAACGGTATAGAAAGTATTATTGCGTAAAATTTGCGCTTATAATCTGTGTCAGGGTTGGGAAGTAACGAGTTACTTGTAACAAAGTTATAGTTACAGTTACTTTTTTTCGGTAACTATAACTTAACTTTGTTACTTTTCTCCATCTGTAACTGTAACTGTAACTTGGTTACATTTTTTTAGTAACTAGTAACTATTTTAACAGTTACTTTATTAGTTACTTTTTTAGAAACATGCGCTAAAAGTATCGTTCAAGTATGGTAGCCGTTATATTGTTATTAAATTTTGATAACAGTAGCATATGGATCTTCATATGATTTAATCTTTTACCTAAAATTTTCATTTTGTCTACATAAAATAATATAACACATAATTAAGATCGACTAATCACAGTCAAGTATTAAAAAAAATTCTTAAATGTAATAATTGGTCGATTTGCTTGCGACTTTGCGATTACCATTTAGTAAGTTACTAACTATTGTTACTGTTGTATATAAAGATCATTCGTACATTGATGCATAAAATGTAAGCTCTTTATATTTAAAATAATGTATAATTATTTTTAAAAAGTAACTGAAAAGTAACGACTCGCTACTTTTTGAGTAACTGTAACTGTAACGAGTTTTTTCAATGAAATAACTGTAACTAGTTACTTTTACAAAGTAACTTTCCCAACCCTGATCTATATGAATTCTGCGAACCTGTCATATATACACGCAGGCATACACATATCTAAAGGAAAAAGCAACCATCTAAAAAACGGAAGTATGCGTCTAGGCGAGTATTGGTGAGAAAACGTCGTGGTTAGTTCGCTCCTCTGGTGGCATTTCGCAACGGAGAGCGAGCCGCGGATAGACGTTTATTTCCATGCGTTTATTTCCATTCAGCCCGGTTGCCGTCGGGAAGGACCGACACAGAGGAAGTGAGGGTCGCATTTGTACGTTAAGCCGCATTTGCACGTTGCCAAGCTCCCCCAAACTACTCCGGACATTGTTTGCCGTTCTAGCAGGGCCGGAACGGAGAGTAAACGGGGGATACCTAGAAGCTGAGAGACACGTACACAACGTGGAGCACAAGCGGCGAACCGAGATGGAGAAAAGCGGAGAGGAACGGGGCGAGGAACTCGCGCAATTCCCGGATCCACGAATTCGATCCGCTCCACGGGACAGAAGCAGCTTGCAAAACTTGCGAAACTGCTACGCGAGAGGCTGTTATTACGCGACACCAACGCAAACTCTGCTAGTCGGATAGAGGAGAAGTACGCACAAGACTCGCTGGACACGTCAAGCAGATCTTGAGCACTAGTTACCTTGGACAGGTGCATTGGGTGTTGCGATGGCGAGAAATGGCACTTAGAAGTGAAAGTTTACAAACTCGCTTTTGGATGTATAGATATGTACATGTTAATCGAAAGAAAGGATATTATTACTTTGATTAATTTATATGCAAATTACGAAGGGTAACGCAATGAAGTTTTAAGCGAGACCTACTTTTTTGTAAGAATATTTGCGATGTCTTTACCGGGAAATATTAATAATGTATAGAATGACTCCGCGAAGCAGACCTCGATGAGTTGTTACGCGTTGTAATAAAGTGGCCTGAATAAACTAGAAAGTGATTTTGCGGGACTATAAGAAATAATGCATCCTTTCTTCATTGACTTGGGTGATTAGAACGAGCAATGCATTATTGCGCTCCACTAAACTTTAATTTCCGAGAAACTCAGTTTTTTTTATTTTGCTTTTAAGTCGTTTTATAAAAAAATGTATATTAATTAACGCGTTCTTTGCTCTCGCTAACTTCTAAGCTTTTTACATTCTACTGTCGAAGTCAGTAGTCAAAGGCT